GTGTGTGTGTGTGTGTGTGTGTGTGTGTGTGTGTGTGTGTGTGTGTGTGCGCGTGTGCCTGTGTGCGCATTCAATTTATCGCAATGTTTCCTGTATTTATTTATTCTTCTGTGTAAGAAGTGTCTATTCTATGAGTTCACACGCGTTATAAGGCGTCTCAGATCAGTCACAAATGAACGTATTCTCACTGAGATAGTACTAGCACTGCTGTGTACAGTAAGTTCATGGTACTTGCACATGTGATTCGGTGGTTTACTGTGTGTGTGTGTGTGTGTGCGCGCGTGCGTGCGTGCGTGCGTACGTGCGTGCGTGCGTGCGTGCGTGCGTGCGTGCGTGCGTACGTGGGTGCGTGCATGCGTACGTGCGTGCGTGTGCGTGTGTGTGTGTGTGATCGATTTTCGTAATATTCTTTCGCCGGATATACTTTCTGTGTGGTTGTGCATTCGTCGCTCACTGTTATCAAAGTGTCAAAACGTTAGAACGCACCGCCTCTATAATGTGTCAAAACGTCAGAACGCACCAGCTCCATATTTACCGTTTTGCATTTTACAACACGATTTATTTTGGTAAAACGGTTCAGCCGAGACATAGCGCTAACGCGTGAGAGTATTTTACATATAGCTGTTAGAGAACACGTTTTGTTTTGTATATAATGTGAGAAGAATTTGTATATACATAGTGATGAGCATGACATTTTAGAGGGCGCCACATACGGCAGATTGTTCAAAATAATATATATTTTGAAGATGTCATAATGTTGTATTCGTGCTATTGATCTAGCAATCAATATTGTGTGAGGTGTTATTCACAATAAAACGAGAGAATCACCAACATTCTGGACTCGTTGTGTCTTTCTGCGTGTCTAGGTGTCGGCAGTCACAAATTATTGTTAAGCAGGAGCATCACAAATGAACACCTTTTCTAGATCTGTGGGCGATAATTATAAACGCTGCTTCATGTACGGATTAGACTTTACTCGACAGCATACGTGTTAGGAAACGTGCATCTGTGTTTCCGTATGTCTTTCTATGCGTGAGAATGAAGTATTAGAAAACGGCCTCAAACACGCGCGCGCGCAAGCACGAACGCACGTATACACTCACGCACAGACACACAGACACACAGACAAACAGACTCACAGACAGACACACCGGCACACACAAGCACAAACAAAAACAAACAACATAAACACACATACAAACACACAACACGCAAACACACGTAAATACGAACACACGTAAACGCAAACACAAACAGCCCTAGGCCCTACATACATGCACATTGAGGAAATTAAACGCGAGAGCGGCGTGCACCAGAGCTGAGCACGGAGCAAGGTGGAAACAAGAGGAAAAGAGAACGGGGGAAAGAGAGAGAGAGAGAGTGAGAGAAAGAGAGAGAGAATGAGAGAGAGAGAGAGAGAGAAAAAGAGAGAGAGAAAGAGAGAGAGAGAGAGAGAGAGAGAGAGCGAGAGAGAGAGACAGTGGGAGAGAGAAGATAGTGGCCGAAGGAAAAACAGAAGAGTGTGGATAAGAAAGTGATACTCCAAGATAACGATACACGGATAGAAGACTAGAAAGATAGAGAGAAGGCTCGGCAATATAGATAGCATACAAGAGGGAAAACACTTCCGGGAGAACGAATAGAAAATAAAAGGGGATAGCGAGATTCAAATATAGAGAGAAATTTAAGAGAGCGAGTGAGAAAGAAGGGAAAGAGGGCCGAAGTTACTGTGAACAGACGGACTGAGAAAAGACGGAAAGAGAGAAAAACAAAGGCGAAATGCGAGTGGAACAATCGGGAAATCTATTGAATGTCAAGCACGCGTGCGCTCGCTCAGAATAGATGTCAATATTTATTAGACGCGTTCTATGCGCAGATAGGCCTGCTAGAGCTGATAGAGAAGCCCATCAGGTTAGATAGATAGATAGATAGATAGATAGATTGATTGATTGATTGATTGATTGATAGAATGATAGATATAGATAGATAGATTGAGTGATTGATAGATAGATAGATAGATAGATAGATAGATAGATAGATAGAT